ACACAGCATATAAAAATTTCTTCCAGAGGTAACTCCGAAGACTCGGGTGCCTCGTCACCAGTGAACTTCGAGAGCGCTAGTGATATTGCCGAAGCCCTCCATTCGAAATTAAGAAGTTCGCCAGCACTTCCCCACTTCATGTCCCTTCTGCAGCATTTGTTTATGGTAAGGCTTCCTTCTCTTCTTTTCCTCCAAAGCACACGGGTGGTAGCGCAGGTGAAGTAGCAAGTGGTGACGCGAAAATTACGGGTCGAATCCCGAACCTCATTTCGTCTAAGCCATGTCTGAGCCACACAGATCCTTTCCCTAGAGCCACGTGAATGGTGTCAGGCTTGTTTGAGAAGACATAAAGAACCTTTTATACAGCTAGACCTACAAGCTACTACAAGGAGGGAGACAAAAATGACTTTCTCCCTCCACACTCAGAAATGATCAATCGAAGTTTGCCAAACCTAAACAAATCTTTTATTAAAAATTGATGAGCATATTCGAATCTATCGAAATCTTCATAGCGGCTCTGAACGGAACCACATCGGGTACGGGAAGGTGCAAGGTTCGAGCTCAACGTGTTTCTCGTCGTATCGTAAACCATTACAACCTTGTTTGGAATGGTGATCGGCAGGGTTTTTTTTCTCAGAACAAATTTCAATCGGAATTTGTTCACGAGTGAGCCAAATAAAGAATTAGATAGCAGTTCCAGGTTTAGGCAATTGCGTAAGGCCACTTGAGTTTTACGGTGACAACGTATGGCTTCATTATTTTGGCGAGAGTGAACAAGGTTTGCGCTGTTTATGGGGAGACATCTGAGTAATATTTTGCCGTAAACTTCCATCAGTGGCCTGCGGTTGGAAGAGGTTGACAAGGTTAGAAACGAGGATGTCAGAGCGGCCATGCAGACTGCCCCTGTCCGACCCTGTCGCCTGATACGCTGAGCCCGCGGAACCCACCCCACCTACCCGCCGACTCGCGCGCCCCTCCGCGGCTACCAGCGACCGCACCACCAAGGGTCATCCGATGGAGAGCACAATGGACTTTGGAAGCAAGGGAAGCGGCCCGCGGTGACTCCAAAGAAGAGAGAAGGGCGTTAAAAGAAGCGACCGCACTGAGAGGCTCAGCGGCCTCACTATCGCCAGAAAATCCGCCCCTGAGGATAGCAACAACATGGCGCGTGGCTGCACACAACGACACACGGATCCCCTCCAACCCTCGCCTGTGGTGATTGTGGCACCATGCAGTTACCATTTTCTGCTTCTCCCCTGTAAATGGCTACGGCACTACTTGACACTCTCCCTCAGGTCGTAACGCAAAAGGCCCAGAGCAGCAGACAATTTCAGAGAACAAGCAGTCTGAGCTTTTGTCCAAATCCCAATCGGAAGTCGGAGCCTCCAGGCTAGTACGCGAAGCCCTTGAGGGAGCGAGGTATTAGCCCGGAGGGCGCCAAGCGCAATATACATAGTCGTACGAGTTTGAACGTCTCAGATCGCATAATCAAACTCACGGCACTGATAGGCGAGAAGAAGCGCAGGAATCGCCCTCGGATCATAGTTGACGGCGGTTTGAAGACCGCGTTCAAGTTGTCCCCGTCACACGACCCTGTAAATGGGTAATGTAAAAACAAGTGGAAGCGCGAATGCATTGCGGCAGCGCAAAAAGTAATACTTATCAAATGAAATGGTGCTTTCCTCATGCGAGGGACGAGGCGAGGAGAGGAGGAATTCCTTCCCTATACTGTATAATCTATCACAACCCCATTCAAAGAATGTAGAGCGGCAATGCCCCTGCGCACGCCCGTCTGGCGATTTCCTCTAGCATCTATAACAAACCGCCTTCAATTCGAAATTTGAGGGTCATTCAATTGAGTAATGTGCCTATGCAAATACAGGGCCAGTCAATGTCAAGTCAGGGTTTCATTGCACGTCGCCCGGAAATTCACGAACAACTAGGCAATTGAAAGGGAAACAAATCCAGGTGGTTCAAGTACGTTGGCAGATCTTGCAATGCCTAAGGATCATCACTCAGCCATTCACCTAAAAACTACTGGAGCAATAATTCCGATGCTCCGATTACAATTATCAAGCGGGGTGATCGGTGATGGAGGGCATCTCTTCGGTCTTATGTAGAAAGCTCTTGAACTGCGAAAAGAGATGTAAAAGTTAGGTCCATAACTCATCTGCGCAAATTTACTTTGGGGGGGGGGGTGGTGGAGTAAATGTGACACGTTATTGGTGTAGTGATGTTGAGGGCGGTTTGACCGCACTCCCTAATGCGCTAGCAGGTGTGACCAGAACGCTTCCCATCACCTGATAGTAGGAAAATATTCGAGGGATGATAAACTAGCGATTGTAAGTAGCATCGCAAAAAAAGCCGCAAGATAATTTTTCACTACCTAAGCAATCGGTCCTTCATGCGTCAGGTACCATCGGACGAGAAGCACCTCCCGCTGTGGCGGCTCTTCGATTTAATCCTTCAACATCTTACTCTTCAAGCAACCGTTCAAGGAATGAGTGACGTCGAGGAGGCATTTGCCTCCACCATTGACATGGACGAAATACTGACGAGGTTTGTTTATCTCCAGAAAGGATTTTGAATAGGCTCCATTGTTTTTGACACAGATTGCACACGCACTGTGACTATGAGCGTTTGGAGAGCGATATGGAGCGCATGAAAGAGGAGCTGGACCAAGAGCGAGTGCGAGCCATGGAGCTCGACAACCGCATAGCTGATCTCAACGACGGAAGAGATAGCATCTCAAGCAGGTTTGCTCTTCTCCATGGTGTCTGGTTCAGAGGAATTATAAGAGATCTATTCAGGATTTCGACTATTTCATCGTCACCTTCCGATCCTTGTCCCTCGTTATCACCATTGCCACCTATTTGCCCACCGGCGACAGCCCCACCACCTCCTCCACCGCCCCTTGTACTAGGAGTGATCAAGAATAATGAGGTGCGTCAATCGTCAATCGATCACCTTTACCTCCAATGGTTCAGATTTTTAGTCAGCCATCTCTTGTGGTTGTGTTGACCCTCTAGTAAAACATTTCGATAACATAATCGGCTACTTTACTTCAAAAACTTACTCCGAAAGCGTTGTCAAAATGCCTCTTTCCTTGACCTACATTTGTGAATTTCAGACTCAAAAACGAGTGCCGAAACCCTCGGGACCATTGAAGTCGTTCAACTGGATAAAGCTTACAGAGTCCAAGGTCAAAGGAACAGCTTGGGAGTTCATTGAAGATGAGAAGATGTATAAGCAGGTAGGAAGGCAGGAATTGCTTCTGGTGTCTATACAATCTATTGTGTTGTACAAGGTGAGCCAGAATTGTAGGAATGGCGAGTGCGCGCGGTCAAACCCACTTTTTTCGGGTAACGGTTAAGGCCGATGTCATAGTTTGCGAATAGAGCGATTCGCTGAATCCGAGCGGCCTAAAGACTTCGAAATAATCAGGTTTGCAACGGCAACGCAGCACGGCCCGCTCCGTGCGCCGATACATTCGCAGTGGGGCGGCGAAGCAAACATATGTTGCTCATCCGTCCCATATCATGATCATGAATATATTCTTATCATTCGACATCTTTTTCCATCCAAATGATTTCTAGCTACTTATGCTCCAACCGTTTACCGTCTCTGCGTTTTTTGAAGCGTGTCCGCTAGATGATACGCTCGTGCGTAGAGCCCTTGTCCGATTCATTGATTGGTATACTGTGATGTGGTTTGTCATCAGTCATTTCCAGAACTGTATGATGGTTTGGTTTCAATAGGAATAAGACATTGTCTTCCATCTTCATTATGCCTAAAAGGGAAATGGAAGAAGTAAAGGGATTCGGACAATAGCATATCCTGCCTACAGTATATCTTCGTTGAAATGAAATCCTGGAATCAAACACACACCAAGTAACTAGTACTCTTCTTAATATCATTTGCACAAGACAATGACCCCTACTTATCGATTATACTTATTTCTACGGTGTATTGTGATGTCATTTCAAACCCCATTATTGATGGCGAACTGACTTATCACTAGATAACAAAGGCGTAGTGAAATCTGATTTGGATAAGAAGATCCGAAAGGCGAGAAAGGGTGACTGGATCGCGTGGACGATGCCATAGCGAATGAAGGCCAGATTGGCAGCGGATTTGAAGACGCATACACCAATTCACTGCAGCTCAAGGTCAGCGCGAGTCTATATGAGTATTCGATCAGATCTGTCAGTTTCTTTAGAGCGCCTTGACGTGAAGGTCGTTGTGTTAAAATGTCACGACACCGGCGTTCCGTCCATAAACATGTTCTAGAGCAAATCCGCTCTCGCTTGTGTCCATGCCATGCTTGATCGTCACCAATTCTTGGTCCTCTCCGTGAAGCTCGGTAATCGTTTTCTGCGGCTCTCATTATCATGAATTTAACTAGTTTAGCAATCTAGGACACAGGCTATCTTTCCTTTTTTCGGTGCTTCCCTCTCCTTTTTTCCTTATAGGTCTGTGAATTTCGCGCCTCTTCTTCCATCTTTGCGCGAAATAGCTAAACCGGCTTAATCATAGAATGTGCTTTCATTTTATCCACCTCGACATGCATTTGATTTCTCAGCGATGAGCAGACCTTTCCAATTCACTTTTCTGAAATTCAGTTCAGTTTTCGCTTATTTAGCTGGACTTGGAAGATGTGGCTTCGACATTCGCATCGAGCTCCCAAAAGGAAGAGGACACCGACTTTTACAGCACGATATCAAGGAGAACTAGGGATACGCAGGTGAAATCTGTACTATTGCCGTTTTTCGACAAAAGAAGTCACTAACTCGATGTATTCAGGTTTCGGTGATCGATCCGAGGCGTTATCAGAACTGCACGATTATGCTCTCTAAGCTGAAGCTTTCCCACAGAGAAATACGAACGGCACTCTTGGCGATGGATGACAAAGGGAAACTTCCCAAGGACATGCTCGAACAAGTGTGTCTTCTTCATAGTTCCCCAAAAATTTGTTCCCACAAGAGCTACATGCTTTCCCGACGTATCGGTAGCAACTAGCTCGGTTAGGTGTTCTCCTTCTCCTTGCCGCTACTCTACTCCCGCGCAGTCGCAAGGCTCGATGTCTTTTATCAGTCGTCACGCACTTGCTGTCTGTAGGGCATTTCTGCTTTGCCGGATTTTCATGTCTTAGCCTTCTTGATTAGTCCGTTTCACACTTTCTTGGGCACTCGGGTCGCTTGCTTTCACTTGTCGAAGCCCATTGGTTTCATCATTGGGTGGTTCTGTGCCATGTCTAAAAGTTGTCAAAGAATCAGTGATAAAGCTAGGGGTAGATCCGCTATTTTTAGATGCTGAAATTTGTTCCGAGTAAGGAAGAGGTGACTCTGCTGCGAAGCGCTGTCAATCGTCATAGTTCGCCGTCGGTTCTCGCCTTGGCCGATCGCTACCTCTACGAAATGGCTCAGTGAGTGCTTTTTATAGTCTAACCTAGGTACAGCATGCGAATCGAGTTCATGGTCGTTCAGGATCCCGCGTTTTGAGCCACGTCTTCGCTCTCTCTACATTATCCGAACGTTCCAAGAGAGATTCGACTGTCTGACTCCACACATTCAGAGTGAGTTTGAAAAGGGCGAAACGGCCAACTCCTCGCGAAAAACTTTAGGGGCGCTGGAGCAGACAAAACGCTTCGCAATTGAAAGACTCAATCTTCGCAGTAATGTATGTAGTTAGGAGGAACTTCAGTGCTCGTCAATCTTGGTTTTTCACGATCTTAGTCGCTGCTCACTCGCCATCTTCAAAACTTCAAAAAATCCAGTCCCCACATTGCAATGAAAAATCAAGGTTTCCAAGCATTTTTAAGCCACGAGATTTGGTGACTGGACCAAGAATTGGGATCCCTAGTAGAGTGAGAAAGCGCAGCCCCAAACGCAAGGGGCGCGACACTGTAGCGGCTCGAAAGTGCGAGGCAACAGTTCTAAGGCCGTGTCTTGTGTCCTGTCGTGCTGTCATCCTTATCAATCGCGGCTGCGTGGCGTCTGCGCCCTCTCGCGTACAACGTGCTCTCTCGCGTTTTCCCTCTCCTCGCAGCGCTGTGTCTCTCCTCCATACCACGGCCGATTTCAGAAGGGAATTTTGGTGTTTTCTATGGCGCTTTTGCTCTTTTAACCCCTGTTCCTCATTGCATTCTTTTTGGATTTTGATTAAAAGAACCCACCAATTCGATCTCGACCCGTGCCTTTCAAGGCAAACGGCAGTGCTAACACATTTTTTCATTCCGCTATTCCACGAAATCTCTCGAGCACAATTTTAAAAGCGTGAGCGACACTCGACAGTATTTACCATTTCGGATGACCGTTTCAGAAAGGCCAATGCAATAGTGCTTTGATTCGGCAAAGCTATCGCCATGATTGGTCTTGAAACAAAAATGTTCTATTAATGGTTCGCAATGACGTGACTGCAAGTAGAAGAAACCTTTCTGTATTTCCCACTACTTTTTTCTACTCATTAATCTTCTGTCTTTTCTCCCAACTCGGTGCGGAAGTCCTATTTCTGGTGTGTGTATTCACCCGCCTGATTTAATCCTTCTTTGGCATCCTCATCGGGAGAAAAGTTAGTTTAAATTCTTATGCAATGTATCATGCCAGTGGTTCTTTGCGTGTATTTTGGGCAGCTTACCAATATCTCAAAGCAACAGTCCCAGCGGAGTGGGCGTGGTC